TAATGAGATCCACTCTATCCTTACCTTTGCACATTCTTTATCTTGTGGGGGGCATTTTAGTGCTAATAGGACTGCTAGGAGGGTTTTAGAGTGTGGTTTTTATTGGCCTTCTCTATTTAAGGATGCTTATTCTTTCTGCAAGTCTTGTGATAAGTGTCAGAGGTTTGGGAGTTTGGGTAGGAAGCATGAGATGCCTCTAAGACCTATGCATTTTTGTGAAATCTTTGATGTGTGGGGCATGGATTTTATGGGTCCCTTCCCTTCGTCTTTTGGATTTTCATACATATTACTTGCAGTAGATTATGTGTCTAGATGGGTAGAGGCAGTGCCAACTAGGAAAGATGATGCTTCTACTGTTGCCAAGTTCTTACGTTCTCATATCTTTTGCAGGTATGGCATTCCAAGAGCAATCATCAGTGACCAAGGAACACACTTCTGCAACAGGACCATCAAGTCTCTATTGGCTAAACATGGAGTCAATCACAAGCTGGCCACTCCTTATCACCCTCAGACGAATGGGTTAGCTGAAGTCTCTAACCGGGAAGTGAAACGAATACTTGAGAAGATCGTGAAACCATCCCGTAAGGACTGGAGTGAAAGGCTTGAGGAAGCTCTTTGGGCTTACAGGACTGCCTACAAGACCCCTATAGGCATGTCCCCCTTCCGGTTGCTCTATGGCAAGGCTTGCCATCTACCTATGGAGATCGAGCACAAATCTTATTGGGCAATCAAGGCATGTGATGCAGATCTCGAATCTTCACTTGTCAATCGGAAGATGCAACTCCAAGAACTTGAAGAAATGAGACTTGAGTCCTACGACAATGCCAGAATCTACAAAGACAAGCTGAAAATGATTCATGACAAACAGATTCTGAGGAAGCAGTTTTATGAAGGTGACAAGGTTCTAAAGTTTAAAGCCCGGTTGAAGCTGATGCCCGGGAAGTTTGTCACCAAGTGGGAAGGTCCGTTTAGAGTTACTAAAGTATATCCCTTTGGCACGGTAGAGCTCGTAGATGAGGAGACCGGTATAACTTCACAAGTCAACGGCCATCTACTGAAGCACTACCATGAGAATCACAGACCTCCCTGATCACCCGGTTGTTCCCTTCCACCCTACTCTTTTACTTTATGTTGTATTGCTGGTGATATCTGTTTGCTGAGATAGTTAGGAGTAAGTGTGGGGGAGGGAACTTTTCCAGTAGCTGTAGTTGTAGCTGTTTATTTCTGTTTAGTAGTTGTTTGTTTTGTTTCCTCTTGATTCTGCCATCTCTTCTGATCACTTGATTTATACTTGTCTATTTTCATTTCACATTATCTTAACATTGAGGACAATGTATTGATCAAGTGTGGGGGAGGGATTGTTGTTGAGTTGTTGAGCTTTCTTTTAAAAAAAAAAAAATTTTGGATTTGCTCCTGTTTCCTAAGTATTGCTGCTATAATTGCTCTCTTCTCTGCCTTATTGGTTGATTTCTGAATTGCATCGCATGATTTGAGAGTGATTCTTGCTTGGGAATTTTGCTGCTAGTTTCTGTGTCCTCCTATTTTCATTCGCCTCAGTGTTTTGCACTGCTGTATGGGCGAGTTGCTGTTCTCTCTGTTGCTGACTTGACTTTTGTAATCCTTGGGCATCTCTTTTAAAATCTTTTTGCACAATGCTTGTGAATGTTGCACGGCTGAGTTTGATTGCATTTGATTTAAGTGATTTCTGTTCTTAGTTGATTAGCATAGTAGAATGCCTTTGGTGCAGTGTTATTAACCTTGTTTCATAGCTTGATACTTAAGGAGGAAACATCTTGGAGAAAGCCTTGATGGAAGGATTGTTGAGCCATATATTTTCTCATCTTGTGTGATTTTCACCTAGTTTTGGTTAACCTCTAGAACTTGTCTAGATTCTTTTTCAAAGCTGCATTAATACCTAGGTTTGTGAAGATGATAGGGGCATTCATTTCTAAACCTTTACCCAAACACAAACCACTTCATTTAACCTTTGTTCACCCCTTTGAGCCTTCACTTTCATTCCATTCAGTACTTTTAAGCAAGTGTTTTGCATGAGTTATCTGATTTTTCATTTTGAAAAGTACATCATTAAAGTCAATATCTTTGCCTTCTTGAGTTTGGATGCAAAAAAAAAAAGAAAAAAAAAGAAATAGAAAAAAAAGGCAAGAAAGAGAAGAAAATGTTTAGAAAAGCCAAAGAAAGAAAGTTAAAAAAAAAAAAAAGAGAAAATAAGTTGCAACAAAAGAATAAATTTGAAATAAGGCATTCCATGGTGGTTTGAAGAGCAAAGATTTCTGTTTCAAAAGGTTAAAATCTGCACTTTGGTGTTGTTTTATGATTGTACTTTAGCTCACTTTGAGTTGATACTTATTACTCATGCATTTCACTTGCTAGTTCATTTCATTCATTTGACCTTGTTTTCCAACATTACAACCCTTCAAGTCCCCTTGATCATGAATCTAAGGTATGTTAGTGGTGGAGATATTAGAATTTCTACAAGCTTATGGTAGGTGCTAATCTAGGTGGATTGAGTGAAATTTTTTCCATTTGAGAGATGAGTGAAACACTTGTACCCTATGTGAGCTCTATTATGTTTCTCTTCTTTTATCCTGCTATGTTTCTTGTGTTAATTTCTTTGCACTGAAGTATTCTATGATTGTTGATTAATTAAGAATAAAGGTTGCTTGAGTTAATTGCACATTCATGCTTAGTTAGTTTTATGTTTGCTTGCATTGAGTCTCTCTATTGGATTCTTCTTTAATGAATTTTGCCCAGGAGTGCAAAAGGCTAAGTGTGGGGGAGTTGACAAACTCAATTATTTTTATATATTTTGGTATCTTTTATATGAGTTTTGTCAGCTTAATTAGTCTTTTTTGCCTTAATTGATTTATTTTGTTTTATTTTGAATTATTATTTTATAGGGGCAAAATTGTCATGTTTTGATTTAATTATGATTAATTGATTTTTAAGGACAATTAATGCTACCTTATCCTTGAATTTTGCTTGCAGGTTCTTGGAAGATTCAAAAATAAAAAAATAAAAAAAAAAAAGAAAAAAAATTAAATTAAAAAAAAAAAATAATAATAATAAGTTGGGGGCAAAACGTTGCGTTTTGCCCCAACCTAATAATCATCATCTCCAGCGAACGGGGAGAGCGCGCCGAAAACACACACGAAACAGAGCAAGCGGGCGGCCGAACGAAAACAGAGAAGGCGCACGCGAAGGAGGGGACCGGCGCTGAGGTCCAGAGAGCCGACGGCGCAACACGAAGAACCATTCATCATCTTCTCCGTTGAACCTTCCTGGTGGCAGGGGGCGCTCGACGGAGACACACACACGCACTGGGAGGCGCGGCTGGAGGAATACACGCAGAAACGGAGAACAGGAGGCGGCGGCTGAGAGAAGGAAATAACGAGAGAGACGCACACACGAAGCTGAACACGACGTCGAGCGAGCTGGAGGCAGACACACGGGCTGGACGAAACAGAGAGGAGACCCGGAAGCTACACACGCGGACGCCGAAGGAGGATAAAACGAAACAGAGACCTGGACAGCGCGAGCTTGACGACGGGGAAAGGATTCACGCTGTTGTTCTTCCATGGCTGACTGCAAAATTCTGAATATGACATTTTTTATGGCAAACCGAGGCTAGAATTTATAATTCTCTAATTCAACAATAATGGCAGGAGCTTGGATCATCAAAGGGGAGTTTTAGTTGCTTTAATTTCCTACTCAATAATTGTTTAACAATTCCTAGGTCTTAGGATAGTTTTTCTGATTATTGGGATAATTGTATTGCTTAATCTGATTTATTATTTGGGGATTATTGTGACTGAATTATTGCTTAGTATTTGACATTGGGCTGTTTATAGTTTTGATCTCAATTATAATGTTGTGGTTATGACATTTGTATTGATTTTGGAATTAATATATTGTGATTTTCTAAGGTGGCTTAGAATTTTGGATCATATAGTCTCTTGCTAGCTTTAATTCTGTTATTTTGGATTTAAGAGTTCTAATTAAGCATTGGTTTTTAGCATCCTTAATCCCATTTTACTATTCTGGTTGCAGTTAGTAAGTTGGGATTTTAGGAAAATATTTTGTGGCAACTCGAGGTGGCTCGGTTGTTGGATCAAAAGCTTAATTATAATTCTTAATTCATTGTTTTTAACTCCCACATCTTTTAGAGTGATGATTGCCTGCGTTGTTGAATTGGAGGATTGATTTTTATCAGTGTTATTTGTGTGTCTCATTTTCATTTCTTTAATCTCCATTCATTTTAATTACTTTTATATAAAAAAACAAAAAAAAAGTATTTTAATTTCAATTTGATTCGTAGTATTTAATTAACAGCTTTTCAAAATCAAAAATCTCTTTTTATAGTTTAGGTTACTTGCATTCATTTACTAGGGTTTAATTTCGTTTTCGGCTCCTCAAAGTGAAACGACCCGAGTTTTGCACTATATTGCATTAATTCGGTTAATTTTTGGAGTAACCCCAAAGCGACAATTAAGGGCAGTTCAACTTCAAGTGGCGCCGTTGCCGGGGATCGAACCCGGGTCGTCCGCGTGACAGGCGGAAATACTTACCACTATACTTCAACATACCTCTTTGCTTCAAACCAATTGGGTATAGAGTATACACATAGCACATGTCTACCATGTCCCTAAAATTGAATTTAATTAGGAGAACGAATGAAGTTCATATCAAACTCTTGAGCCTCCACCACCTGGTCAAAAAGGCTCTGTTAACATTTTTTTATGTTAATATCTTGAACAGAAAAAAAAAAAGTGCTATTACGTTCTCTTGTTTCTATTAATTCTTGAACAATTTTGGATTTATTATAATTTGTATAAGAAGGATTTTGTATTTTTATTATTGGAATATTTGGTGGATGGAACAAAGGTTAGAACTTCGTAGCAACATGAAAGTTTTGTGGTGATATGGAACTTGGAAGATTTAGTTAGAGCTGAATGCTTGTGTTTTCAGGGTGTTTCCTTATCTTTAGATGCCTTATGAGCAAGAATTTTGTTTCAAGCTTCATTTGACAAACCAAGTACAAGGTATGGAGTGTCTGTTTTGATAAAGGATTGGCATGCTATATGATTTTCTGATTTTGGTGCAGTACAGGATGGCAATCTGAGGGTTTTCAAGTGGCCTAGCATGAAAATTATTCTCAATGAGACTAAGGCTTATTCAACAGTAAAAGACTTACATTTCAGGTTTGTTGTTTAGCAATATTATGGAGATTTTACTTTTTAATTGAATACTACAAAGAAAAGAAGAAAAGGTTCTCGGAAGCAAGAAAAGAGAAGTTCTGTTTTATCGTTGATGAGGGTTTCCCTTATAATCTGATTTCATTGTCTTGCAGCTCTGATGGTAAACTGCTTGTCTCTTTAGGAAGTGGTGGCCCGTGCAGAGTTTGGGATGTTTCCTTATCAACGGTCCTAACTTCCATGTCAAGTAAAAATGTGAGCAATTTATTGTCACTTACAGAAAGAATGTTAAGTTGACTATAGGGTTTAAATTAATGCGAGTGACATTGGGTATAATATGAACTGCACACCACTATTGGCAATGAGTAAGTAATGAAATGTGGAATCTATAAATTAAATATTAAATAATTGGTAGAATGAAAACATGTGCAGTCTCTGCTTTTTGAAGGCTGAATAATTTATGATACTTCAAAATTATATGTTACAAAACTATATAATTATTGTTAGTGATGCTAATTTTTTATGGTCTTGTCATCATTTCCTGTGGAGCATCATTGCTCTCCAGTATCTACTAATTGATTGGTAGATAGCTTTACAAGGTAAGTTAGAAGAAGGTGATCTTTCATAGTTGTCTTTTCTGACTACTGCATCAGATGGAAGTGATTTGTACATCAACACATAACAAACAACTGGTGTTTTGATCAGAAGTATTCTAACTACCTCATCTGACTGACATATACTCCTTGGCTAGGCATCTGTCTGTTTCTTATCTTCGCATTCCTCAATTCTGGAGTGATGTTGCTTACACACACACACACACACGGACTGGACTTGTTAATTGATACTAAAAAGAGCATAAGATCATCAAGCGACTTTGAGAAACAAAGAGAATCAATATCCAATGGTAGAGCGGGTGATTATACAAGTCATTGATATCAAGATAAGATATAAAATTTACCACATGCTATATTATCCACCAGTCATGAATATCTAGCTCATTAAGCTCTGTCGAATATGTGGGAGACCAAATTATTAGTTAAATGAAAAGCAAGAAAGGATAGGATGAAAGAAAACTGATGGCATATATCAAGAGAATAGTTACTAGTACCTTCGATTCTTAATATAAGAGCTGGTTGACCAAATTGAGCAGATTAAGAAAAATAGTTAAGTTAGTTATTTGTAATAAATAAGTATTGTATTTTTTAAAATATTCTTGCTAATCAAGTATATTGGTGAGAATTACTATTATTATAAGGACCAACTTGGAAAAAAATAGATAAATATAAGAGACAAAGTGAATTGAGGTCTTATAATTAGAACCAAAATAAAAGTTAAACAAGCTGTTATATTAAGGACCGGAAGTAGTATGAAATTTAAAAAAAAAAAAAACCTTACATTCTGTGACACATCTTTCATCTCATGTCACACGTATGACGTATATGTATCCTAATTGTAGCCAAACTGTTTAAGAAGTATTATGGAATATCCCTGATGTATCTGCATAGAAATGATAGTTATAATCATCGAGATCTAGCCAAAATGTACTAGAAGGTTTTAATCCCCCCCCGCCCCACCGTTACACTGGTCAATGGGTAATGTTCTGAACTGCATTCATTGACCATAAGACAGTATAGTGCTTTAGATCATCCTTTTTTCAGTAATCATCTGACTTTTCAGTATTTGTGTCGTAATCATATTTTGTTAACTACCATGCAGGGTGAGGTTTTTAGCTCTTGCAGATTTTCTCGATTTAACGATAGGACCCATGTCTTGTATATTGCTGCCATGACAGGTATATGCTCACTGGATTAGAAGTAATCTAAGGGTAGTCATGTTTAATTTAATTGAAAACTATTTTATTGCTGGATATATAGACAAAGGCGGGAGCATTCTGACATTGGATGCAAAAACTGGGGCAAGGATTGGTTCGAAGCATATTATTCGTGATGCAATCTCTGCATTTAATGTCTCAACTGATGGAAAGTTAGTTGCATGGTAAGTAATCTGATACGTCTTTTCTAGTGGTCAATAAAGATAGGTTAAAAAAGATAAAACAGGAGTGTGCGTGAAACTTGTCCAGAACTTATCTATTCTGTTTTGGTGGGTTGACATGCAGTGGAACACCTTCAGGAGACATTGTGATCGTGAATTCGACAAATATGCAGATTCTTTCAATCATTAAAAAGGCTCACCTTGGCATAGTAACTGCGTTAGCTTTCTCCAACGATTCAAGGTTTGAAACCAATATATTGTTACTGTTTTTACTTGGAACTAGAAGTTTGCATATAGAAAGTTACTGATGGCTTTGACTCTTGAGTACAGGGTGTTGGCTTCTGTATCCTTTGATTCAAGTGCAAGGGTTACTGTAATTGAGGAGAAGCAGAAAAGTGGTATGTGCATATTTAAAATTAAAGTAGCTTGATAACTGAATCAAGTCCCTGGTTCTGTTATACGATTACTGTAAATGGGTCTCGCATGTTTTGGTTAATCTTTCATGAAACCAAATATTAGTTTAGAGTACTTATCCAACTGCACAACTTGATGCGCTGAACTTTTAGTGGTTTCTTTTCAAGCCTAACTTCTCAAAAGGGTTGTTGGAAAGTCTTAGATTTACGGCTGTTGAGACTTTCATGATCATTATTAATACGTGTGTTAATTTCTTTTCAGGAGGATTGAGCTTATGGATTGCTGTACTCATCATCATACTCGCAATAGCTGCCTACTTCCTGAGACCTCAAGGCATTGACAAGTTGGGGTTATCTTTTCTTCGAAATTGACCTGTAATGTTAGCTAAAAAGGTCTGTAAATGTAACAGCATGGTTTCTATGCATGTTTGATTTTGGGGATGTAGATATCTTTTTGAGTTCACATCATATTGAGTGATGTACTTCAGAACTCCCTTAACTTGTTTATAGGTAATAACATAATCAGAATTATCACTTACAATTGTTAAATTCAGTAAGACTAAGTTGTAATTTCAATAAGAACTAATAAAAATTTTAAAAAGGGCACCTTTAATGAATTATTTAAAACCCCCTCATATGACAGCATTTGCGCCATTTGGAGGGGCTGCTGGAAGAACTTGTGGCACTATCTGTAAGTCTCAGTTGAAATTTAACTAACTATCATGAAAAGTATTGATTTTATAATAGTTATTACTCCTCTGGTTTTTTTTTAATAAAATCTAATTGTTAAGTTGATTTTGATCTTAAATATAAAACATATTTTTATATTTATTAATTTTTTTAAAAAATTATTCATATTAATACTCTTTTAATCATAATCAAGTATGAGAGAGAGAGATTATATTAAGAAAAATGGTTATGGTATGGTGTTTTGGGGAAAAAAATACATGTTATATTTTTTATAATTAACTAATTTACCAGCTCAAAAAAAATTATTTAACTTTCTTAATCTAATCAAATTAGTTAAATAGATCTTATGCGAAAGATCGGAGGAGTATTATAGTGCTTATCTTTGCAGTAGTAGAGTCTAATTGATTTAGAGAAAGTGTGATTATAAAATCATTATTGGTTTATTGAGTCGTATTTATGCTCAAGTCACCGCAAGAAAATTTTAGACAGACGAGAGAGATAAATGGAGAAGGCAAGGAGACAAAATGGCGTATAGAGTAAAGGGAGGAACGAGCAGAGAGATGGTGGGGAGAGTAAGGATAGCAATTTGAAAAATACCATAAATTCATTAAATTGTTAGACTTCCAAATTTAGTTTTTCTCTCTGACAGTGTAGATATCTTGCTTGCCCTGCTTTTTATTGGATAATTGAATTATATGTGAAATCAAGTAGTTTGACTAATCTCTACGTAAATCTAAAGAACTTGTCAAAATGATAAGATAGGGTGAAAAACCTAACAGCAACCATTAATATTTATAACGATATGGATTACCATTGCTAGCACGATTTCAAATTAATTTTTTATTTTCTTTTGTTTTGGTACACAAAGTAGAATAAAATAAAATAATTGAAAAAAATAACTTTAGTTTAAAAATAGGTTTAAGATGCATCCAGAACTCGAAATATTTTTTTAGGTACATCCAACACCTTAAAATATTTTATAGTACATTCAGCACTTTTTATTGGACGCACCTTAACTCTTAAAAATACCCTCTATCTATGAATTACTAAATAACCAGAAACAATTATTACCATAAAACATTGGGAAAAGTAATATTTTGGTTTAATGTGAAGATTTGTTCCAAAAGTTTTGATTTACAAACACTAGGTACCTAGAATTTTTTTATAAGCATATTTGTCTTGAAAATTTAAAATCATAATAATATTGCCTTTTACCATTAAAATAATAACGTTAATCGTTAATATTTTTAATGATAGATGACAATGTTGTTTATGATTTTAAACGTTTAGAGCAAATTAACTTCCAAAAATTTTTTTGGATACCCAATGCTCCTAAATGAAATCATTCAAAGCAAATTTACACCTTAACCTTAAATCTTTTAGTCTTCAACTTTTAACTAACTTAAGGAGAATCATCATAAGATTCCAAGAAAGAAATTTAATTGGTAAAAAAAAATCTTAATAACAAGTGACTAGCTTGAGCTTGTTGTCTTCCTTACTTTGAGATTTATTATTGTATGCTCTTTAATTATCAATAGACTTTAGGATAATTAAATCCCTTCTTCAAACCTGATTGTAATTCTCCTATTAGCTTATGACTTATTCCTTTAACTATGACTCAGCATAATTCAACTTTTGAATTTTTAACTTGCATATAACTCAGTCACTTATCTTGTCAACTTCTTATTCTATTACCCTTGTATCTATAAAGCTTAGTCATATGTGGCAAAAATGGCTTCCAACTATGTTCTTTTTTATAAGCAACCTTAGACTTCATCATTTAAATAAAAAAGCTAGTTAAAGACAATAAATGAGTAGAATTTAGAATTTCTTTCCAAAATATCTTTTATGTATAGGATAAAAAGTATAAGAAACAGAATAAAAAAATTATTATATTAAAAAAAATTACAAAAAAAGAGAGAATATGTGATGAAGAGAGATAATAATTTGGGAAATGAGATAATAAACATATTGAGTATTAAGATAAATAATTAATGTGGGTAAAATAGAAAATTTACCATAAAAATTTAAGATAAGTTATAAATTGTACTTATATTTAGGGATAAGATGATGATGATAGTTGTTGTTTATTTAAAAAAAAAAAAAAAAAAGACGCGCAGAGTAAAATTTATATTAAAAAAAAAAAAGAGTGAGGAGGTGGCTTTCGCGAGGAAGAGTCCTTGGACTGGTTGAATCCGCCCGAATAAAAATATGCCTGATCACTGGATAGCGATGCATTGCGTATCGAGTCACAAGTGTGATCCTTTGTTTATATATCCTGTGAAAGAGTGAAGAAACACCCAAAAATCCCACCACGCGCTGACATCCACACCCAAATCTAGTATCGAAGTCCAACACCTCACAATACACAATAATTTTATCAGATTCTTCAGGTTTCAGAAGAAAGACAGAGGGAAAGTTAATACTCCTCTTGTCCTTGATATTATATATAATTATTAATTTAAATAAATTAAGGATGTTAGTTAAATTAGTTAATATGATATATTTTTTCTAAAACATCTTAATCATTTTTCTTAATTCTTTCCCCCCTCACTTGATTATTATTAAAAGAATATCAATACGGTTAATTTGACAAAAAATTAATAAACATATGAAATAGATTTTACATATAAGACTAACATCTTATATTAAAGACAGTAAGGTCCCATTTGGTACGAATATTGAAAATGAAGGATTAAGATTATGATTGCAATTGGAAAAAAATCATTAAATAATATTTAACATGAGTAATTGCTCATTATATGGGATTAAGTAAACCCATAGAATAGGATTGAGAAATACCACTTCCCTCCATAATATTCTCCAATCCCACATACATGGGTTTGGCTAATCCTATATAACAAATAATCTCTTATACTAAATACTCTTTTAATATATTTTCTCAATTGTAATCTCAATCTCAATCTCTTATTTTCAATACTTTCTACCAAACATAACCTAGGAGTATTTTTTTTTTTTTATGTGGATTTACAATCAATAACATCAAAGAGATCCAGAGCCTTAGAAACAGAAGCCATGGCTTGGATCTTGGATCTGTATCTTTACAAGGCATGCTTGTATCCTCTACCAAGGCTTTACCTTCCGGCCTCTTTTCTCTCTGATACTCCTCACAACAGCCTTACTTGCAGAATCCAGAAGGATCTCAAGCTCTCTCTCTTACTATTTGGGTAGTTTCAATCAGAGCTCCGACCTTTTTTTAAAAATTTTATTTTTTTAAAAAAGAAAAACCATGTAGAGTGCTGAGTTGGAAGCCATTTTTGCCACACAGAACTGAGTTATGGATACGAGGATACTAATATAAAAGGTTGATGAGATAAGCAGAGTCGCGAGAGAGTTAAAAATTTAAGAATTAAAGAACTAAAAAATAATTTTTCTAAATACAAATCTTGTCTCAGAGTTAGGTATGTCCAAATTTTAGAGTATTTTGTCAAATACGTCCAGCACCCTAAAATATTTTGTGATGTATCTAGTATTTTGAAATATTTTTTTCTAGATATATTCAGTATCTTAAAATATTTTGAAGAATTTAAAAATTGAAAATTGAACTATTTTTCCAAAATGAGAGGAATTTGAAAGGGGCATAGCGGACACCCCCAGCCCGTTTCTA